CGTATAACTCTTGCATCACACTATAGTTCCACATTCTTCCAGTACAAGCTGGTATGACCAAAGCTACAGATCCTATGATCCATCAAATTACACACAGTCTGCTGTAACACCTTCTGTAAAATTCAAATTTTGTCACTAGTGGGATTCGAACTCTTGTCCTGCCGCTTGGGAGTGCGACAACTTACCAACTTCACTAAGTCGCCACACCCTTATTTTTATTTTTTTAATCAAATTAATTAGATTTAAATTGTATTAAAATTTAAATTATTGATAATTTTTAAGTTGTATTAAATTATTGATTAAACATAGTAATTACTTTAAAGAATTATTTACAATTTCGCATGGCAATTCTTCAATGGTGCATTTGCAGAATAGGAGGTATTAGCATTTTTAAAGTCTTATTTACTTCTTCCAAAATTGCATCCAGTTCCTGATATTGATTAGAAAGCCCCAACTGAGAAATAGTATAGTTTCTTTCTACAATATCTCTTACAGACAAATCAAACTGCATGAGTTGTATTTCATCAGAGGCTTCAATTAGTTGATATATAGGATGGCATTGTGCTAACCATATTGGCAAAAAAACTCTTCTTGCAGCTCTTTTTAGAAATAGGTTATTATTTTTTATAGCTGTTCTATAATTAATAATAGCTTGTAAATAATAAAAACCTGTATAATAAATTAATATAAAATTTACAATTTAAAAAAAAATATAATAAATATATTAATAAATTTTTACCTATTCAAATTTTACTTGATAAAGATGATCTTTCCGGTCTTTCACCTATGTTAAATACTCTTCAACCGATAGATTAAAACTGTTTTTAACATATGGCCACACTAACTCTATAGCCATTGCTTGGCAATAAATATTGCAAACTGAATCCCAGGCTTTATAATGATCGTGACACTTCTTAAAATATATGAGCTGATTTTCCGTTTTGTATTCTTAACATTTTGCAAACTCTTTAAGACCAATACCCCTTTTTTAAGAAAATTAAAAATTATATAAAAATTATAAATTTTTTTAAAATGAAATTAGTAATTATCAGTCAATTTAACAATATAAATAGAAAACAGCTATTTCCACCATGAAAAATTACTGCTTTACCATTTGATAAAATTTATCATGATAATATTTTCATCATATTCATGTAGCTGAAAGTCATATAAAAAGCATGATAGAAATAGTAAATTTCTATGGTGGAAATATGTGTTCTCTATAAATATTGATAATTGCGCGAATAGATACATATTAATCCTAATACATTAGTCAACTGCTATAAAATTTTAACTATCCAAGATGACTAAAATACGACTTAACTTACCAATTTAGTTCTACATATGCACGAAGTATATTCATCTCTTCATGCAGTTGCCCAGGAACAAGAACTAGCCAAGGATACTTATGTTTTATTTTAGTTATATAATTATATAGAACCCCATTACATGTAATGACTACCCTTTTACGAATTCCATCCTTAATTCCTGAAATTTTCTCTATATAGATAAGGATTTCTTCAATATTAGCTATTGAGTTAGGGTTAATATTAAGGGGGTCAGGTACAAAAATTTCTGTAATATTAACTCCTTTATCAGGAGATTGTTTTTGAGTTATACTTATTCTTGGTATAGTAGATGATTTGGATTCCTCTTCAACATTATAGTGTTTAAAAATAATTGGATGGTCCGTTAAATCGTCTTTAAATTCAGGAATTTGTTGTTGTAGTTCAGCCAACTTAGATAGACGAGTAGCGCATTGTGGACAAACTTGCTTCCTATTATCAATGTTTTGTTCACCACAAGCAATACATCGCTTATTACAATTATTATTCGATCTCATCCTAATAACAAGGGCATCAATATTATTAGTCTTAGATAAATTTCTTCAAGTAATAAATTTAAGATTTCTGAAAGATAATTATTTAGTTCTTTATTTATCGCATTCTGCATTTCAGGTGTAATAACGAAAAGGTTTTCATAATTAAGTCTATTCCAAAAATTAAATACCTAAGGAAAATTAGTATGTTGAATATAATTTTTAGTTCTATATTAAAAACAGCAAAACTAGTAATAGTATTATATGTTACTGTGTTTGATCCTTGATCAAGATAGTTTCGTTGCCCTTTTTGTTCATTATCAAAGGCTATAAATAAAAGTCCATTAGGTAGAGTTTCTTCTTCTTCAGATAATTCATCTAGCCATTTTTGAAAATGAGTATAACTTCCAGAATATATAATGTGTTTATTGATATTAATGATAGTTTTCAATCTTGTGATAGAATATTTTATGGCCAATGCTGCGAGATTTATTTCTGACACATATTTTTCGTGTCTAGACCCATATATTAAATCAACAGCCATCGCTCTTTTGTAAATTTTCTCGATGTTTAAGGAATCTGTATTAAGATTGTTATTTGTTAGTGTCTCAATAAACTTAACAACAACCTGATTATATTTACTTAGCCATGTTTGTGATGTATAGTTTAATAGATTTTTTAAAGAAAATCTATTATAGTCTTTAATGAGAGAATTAATGTTTTTATATAACGATTTCTGTTCAAGTAGCACAATGTTAATAACTTTTTGTATGCGCTTATTCTGATTACAATATTGAGAATTCTACTGTTCAACTAGACATTTATTTTCTTTGCATTTTTCTTGATAGAGATCTTTCATTCAAATCATCTCATTACAATATTCATTTAACCTTTTTCTCAACTTAAAAATCTCTTGTCTTTGATTTTCTACTTGCTGTTGTAAATATGAAATTGTGTTAGTAAGGCGCGTAATATACTGATCATTTTCTTGATTTTCCACTTGAATTTTATTTAATAATGCTCTTGCACTTTCAAAATCTTCTGACAAATATGATTCATCACTGGTTATTATCTCTTCGAAGGTAGAACTTGGTAGTCTTTCTATTCTTTCGAACTTAACTGTTGAATATGATGCTTCACTCACGATAATCTCTTTAGAGGTAGAGCTAGTATCGGTCCAGGACCTTTTACTTTCATGCTCAAAACTAGAATTATCCAAAAGCCATTGATAAAAATGATTAGCAGATATAACTTGATTATAATGCTTTTGGCAAATAGAATAAGAACTTAAAACACAATTAGTAAGTTCTGGCATAAAACTATGATACTGTGCAAGTCATCCAGCCGGCTTTTGTGCCTTAGCATTACACCAGGTTTGCTTAATGCTTGTCTTGCAGGCACATAATCCAATTTTATCATATTTACTGACTAAATCAGCAAATATACAAGAGAGTTTTTCAGGCTTTTTTTCTTGTAGAGCTGGTTGGGGTTGTGACATTTTTAAATTCTAGTGTGCTAGTACTTAATAAAAAACACTGTTTTTTAAATTTTTGAGTCTCTTTTATTCTTTTAAAAAAATGTGATTATGAAACAATTTTAAGTGATTATAAAACTAAAGGCTTTGACTCTTATTTTGTATAGTTATAAGCTATATTAAGTATTACAAAAAGTTACAATTTTTGATCAAAGATAATCGAGGGTGGCTGATGATAGCTAATCAAATTTTGACAAAACATTTTAGATTTGATTTCCATTTTTGGTAATGTGCCTGACTGTAATTATTCAATAATGACCGAGGCCAGGCCTCACTCTTAAAAAAAAAAACAAAAAAAAACAAAAGATAGTTTAAATATTATAACCTTGATGAAAGTGTTTAGATATCACAATCTTGATATTTTAGATTTCATGATCTTGTAAAAAATAGGATTATAACTTTTGATTGTATAAGATTTGTTCAATAATTTCAGATCTAATTATATTGTTCATCAGTCCATTGTTAGTTAAACTCAATATAGCATGCTCAAAATAGAATTTACTAAAATTTCACTCTTACTTATTACCTTTGAATTCCCAAAACTAATTGTATCAAAATCAATAAAATTGATAACTTCTCAATACTGATATAAAATCTGTCCACCACGCATATTGGTTTGTGAGGTTTGACAGTATATAATTTTATTTTTTAAGATTGGTTCTGTGCTATTGGGAATGGTTACTAGCTAACGATAAGAGTTAGTAACACCTAAAAGAATAAAAAAAAACCAATTAGAAACTTAGTAATCATCAAAAAAGCATTAAAAAATATAAAATATATAAACTATACTTCCCGGGTATTAAAGTCAAATAAGCTAAACAACAATTAAATTAGAAAATGATCCTTTTAAATATTCCTAAGTAATTAAAACAAACAATAAAGTATTTTTAGTAATAGGTAATAATATTTTCAGAATTATATTGTAATGCGCTTATCTTGAAAGTATTCCAAGTTCATAGAAAATTTTTGGAAGTATTAAGAGATTAATATGGGCAATATAAGGGATGAAAAATTTTATATTTAGCTTTTAATATCATATTGACTGCAACTATGGCTAAGAAAGACCTACTCTTAGGTCACGCAAAGTTGATTTTTCGTTTTGAATTACATGGATTTCAAAATTTCAGATGGATGAGCAGATTTTTTTTTTTTTATTAATTTAAATAATTTTAATGTTAAGATAACTGCAAAATTATTTTTTGTTTTGTCATTTCATGAAATCTGAAATTTGAATCGATTGATTGGCCTTTTTCAGTTTTTTTTTTATGTCAGTTTTATTGAAAAGTTTTAGAAAATTAGGGTTTCCATCGGGTGAAACCAGATCAAAAAGATGGAAAAAAAATAAATACTGAAAATTGAATAATTGACACAATTGCCACTTATTAAAAAAAAAATTGAAAAATAGAACGACAGTAATGCAAAATGAAAAACAACTTTGTGTAGCTTTAGTGATTCTTATCCTAAAAGTTTCTTCAACCAAGCCCACCAAAACGACAGACTAATAATTACAAAGTCCTTGATATTTATTATGCCCAAGATGAATCAGCATTAGATGAAGGTTTATGTTCAATGATAAAAAAAAAGAATATATCAGATAATAAGTATAAAAAAGATAAATTAACAGCAAAAAGAGATGATGTTGCTAGTATGTGTATTGTTGGTTGCTGCAGTAAAAATGGAAACAAGGATGGAAAAGATAATTGCAAAGCACCAGTTCTCGAAAAAAGACTCAAAAAAGCTTGTGAAGTTCGAATTAACAAGGTTAAAGAATAGCGACCCTCAGCCTCCACCTTTGTAGGCCAGGCCAGTTGATAAGAGAAGTATTAGTAGTGTTCCTCAAAACAGAACCGAAACCCGGAACCGAACCGGAACCGAACCAACGGGTCTGATCGGATCTATAGTTTTTTCTGAAACCGACCACTTTGGGTCTTGAAATAGACCCAAACCGATACTATCCAATCAGAACCAGTATGTAATATTGATACGTATGTGAAGGATTACATAATAATTACGTAGCAATAAGGTTTCTATTGTTGCAGAACAATATGTAACTTTAGAGCCTATTGTATATAATCAATGATGTAAGTGCACATGAAATAAATAAATAGGAATCTCGATTCTAGACATCAAACCTCACCTTCTGATTTTTGAGTAAAGTGACCTTAGTAATTTGAGTAAAGTGATCTTAGTAACGTTGTCGTGCCAGTGTGGTGGAAGAAGGTGGACATTGTTAGAGGAGACTTGGTGCAAAGGAAGGAAGGATTAAAAGAAATCTAAACAAGTATGCAAATCTTATAAGCCTTTTGAGTATGATATTAAGTATATAGAACACTTACTCCCCAACAATAATCTTATAATATTTTTTGCTGTCACCTTGGGTTTTTATTATACTAAAAAAAAAAAAGATAGTATACTGCTTCTAAGGGTGAAAAGCATTAACAGAGACTTTTTATATAAAACAGTGCAAAAACATTTTGCAAAAAACCATTTTATTTTTTAATCTTGAGGTGGTGGACTTTTTGAGAAGGCAAAATATTAGCGAAACCTCTTTACCACAACAATGTCAAGCCTATTTGAAATGTCTTATGAAGCCCAAGAACTAATAGATAGATTGTTTTGTGATGAGGTCTAAGAACTAGTAGATGAGTTATCATGTGATGAAATTCAGAAGCCAACAAATATTGCTTGCTCAGATGAATTTAATAATGGTGAATTATTGTCTGTAGAAGATAAATGCGCAAGGTAATATAAGATTTAATACAGTAATTATAATATAATATTACATCATATACTAATATATTTATTTACAGATCGTTTGTGTGGAACTATTTTACGAAAAAAAAAGTAAAGATAGAGTAGTCGTGATATACACTTGACTCCCATTAATATCAACCTCGTTAATATCAACCTCCTGTTAATATCAACCTCTAATTAAGACAAAATAGACTCAGGGTATATTAAAACTATCCCGATATTATCAACCTTCGTATATATCAACATAATTGCCCAATCCAAATGGGTTGATATTAACGAGGGTCAAGTATATACGTTTTGCAATAAAAAACTAAAAATCTTAGAGGATAAATCGACATCAAGTTTTAGAAAACACTTGGCTAATAAACACAGAAATAAAGTGCCAGAATTAAAGTCAAAGTCAAATAAAGTGGAGGGTACCTCTGTTTTAGATATATTAAATAATAATGCTGTAAGTTTTTTTTGTGTATTTTTTGATACTACTTTCTTATATACTTCTTTCTTATAATATATAATTATTAGAACATAAATCATAATCGTGAACTCTTTGATCTTAAAACGTTCACTAATCTTATTAAAAAATGGATAATTAAACATAATTAGCCATTTCACATAATTGAAGATAATGGTCTTAGATCAATATTTACATATTTAGACCCCTGTGCAAAAGGTATGATATTTAATTGACACCAAATAGATGTTTTTGCATTTTTATTAATTGGATTTTTATTGGATATAATTTTATTAAAAAATATTTGAAATTTCTTTTGTAGCGCCTTCATCAAACTTAATAACCAGACATATTGCAAGCAAATTCAAAGAGGAACGTGATCAGCTTCGAAAAAAATTAAATGATTTACCTGGCCGTATGTCATTAACAACGGATATCTGGACGACAGATACTAATGATAAGTTATTCATATCAATTACCATCCATTATCTGAGCAGATCATGGTCAATAAAAAATCTATTACTTGACTTTATCTACATGGACAGCTGGCATACAGGTGCTGAAATTGCCAAAGCTATGGAAGAATGTCTTCAATCAATGGGGGTTGTTTCAAAAATAATGTCAATTACATGTGATAACGCCTCTGCTAATGACAAATTTTTAGAAGAATTTTCTGACTCTCTTTTGCAAACTAGCATTTTATTTGATAACACACAACAATCCATACATTGTTTTGGTCATATATTGAACCTTGTGGTGCAAAGCATGTTTAAGAATGTATGAAACGAGTTAAAAAAGGTTATTAGTTTTTATTTCTTTAAATATTTGTAAAATTTTATTTACATATAATTATGTGTATATTCAGTTACGTGAATTAATAAAAAGTATCTGGGATCGAAGATACATAGACAAAGTATGAAAATTATATGTCAAATGCATAGTATAAAATTATTAAAACCGATTCTTGACGTCTCCACAAGGTGAAATTCCACCTACGATATATGCAAACACGCATTAATATTCAAGTTGTTTTGGATGCTATTTCTCATTCTAAATTGGACCTATGGTAGCATGCACTCTCTGTAGAAGATTGGAAAAAAATTAAACATCTTGTTGCAATTTTATTATTATTTAAAGATGGTTTGCAAATTTTTTTTATTTAAATTTTTAAAGGCGGATTACTTATGTTTTAATTACATTTAGCGATGGTTGCAATGTCAAAGCAGAAATATCCAACGTTATCTATGGTTATTCCTTTTTATTATACATTAATTGAAATGCTTAATGAAGCTATACAGAATGAGGAAACACAACAATGGCTTGTTGAAGGATGTGAAGCAGCGAAAGAAAAACTTTTGAATTATTGTCAAAAAACGAATGTATTAAGTCTTGCAGCAGTAGTGTTGGATCCACGACATAAACTTGAATATTTTGAATCATTAGGCTAGTCATCATGACTTATAACTCAAATTAGAAACATGTATGTATATTACAAAATTGTGTAAGAATTAAATAAAATATTAATTATAACCTAATTTTCTAGCATAAGTGATAAATATGAGATGGAATATGCACCTGTTCAAGACACAATTGATATAATTAGAGAATCATCTGAAACAAATATATTACCAAGAATTTATAAATGACCATATATTGAGCAGCGGAGCAAACTAGATACATATCTATTTGTACCATTAGTTGATCCAAGCACCAATGTTCTTGAATGGTGGCGAACAAATGAACCAAGTTACCCAAATCTTGCAAAGTTTGCTCGAGACATTCTTCCCATCCCTGTGACAAGTGTTTCGAGTGAACAAGTATTTAGTATTAGTGGTGATATGGTAACTGATAAGCGGAATCGATTATCTGGTAAAACAATAAGAATGGCGATGTGTTTGAGATCCTGGTGGAGAAATTTAGATAATTAAAATTTGCTTTTCTTTAAAGTTGCTTTTAAATTGAATAAAGTTTACAGGCTTTAAGTTGTTTTTACAATTCCTGGAATACCTGAAAAAAATTTGTCGAATGATTTTTCGGCCAATTCAATTAAATTTATGATTTTGGCATTATAAATTCAATAATGTATATGTAATCAAAAATCAAGTGGTCAATATAAATATCATAAGACTACATGCGCATATCTCTGGTTAAATACAGAAATATATCTTTGCAAATATATGTAATTAAAGATCAAGTGACTAATATAAATATTATAAGACTACATGCGCATATCTCTGATTGAATACAGAAATTTAATATCTTTGCCAGCAAATGCATATAATTAAAGTTCAAGTGGCTAATACGTATAAATATTATAAGATTATATTGTGCATATCTTTGGTTAAATACAGAAATATGCCAGCAAATAATTAAAAAACATTTAGATTGCTTATCTGTTTGGAAATTTCGATCTTCTATAAATCAGATTCTCAGAATTCTCAAGCACTTTCAAAAATTTAGGTTATTGAAAACATTCATAAAATACATTTTTGAAAAATATAATAAAATTTTAATTTTGCAGAATCTCATATTTTTAATATGCTGAAATCAGGACCAACCAAAAAATCATTTGGCAAATTTTTTATTAGCGTTAGGTGTTTCAGGAAAGTTATTTGCTTTAATGGTTCTGGGTCGGTTTCGGGTTTGTTCTAGTTGATTTCGGGTTTATTTTTAGGTCCAATCTGACTTTTCGGGTCTGGATCGGTTCTTTTCTAAAAACTGACCCGATCTGATCCGTGAGGAACACTAAGTATTAGAATCGTTTCTCTTCTAAGCATGTTTTCAAGCTAGAAATTGAATAAAAATCAGCTAGTTATTTCTTATAATGTAAGAGAAGTTGGCTTATTTAGTTGATAAATTAGCAAATAGCAAATATAATACAAGGATCAGTAATGTTCGGTGGTATAGACAATCAATTAACGTGCCAAAATTTTCTTAAAGGCAAAAAGAATAAAAATTAAATCATTTAATATCACAAGAATTTGCCAAGAAACTACCTGGTGTTTTGCACGTTTAATATAGATATGCTGACTGATTTTGATCAGAAAAAAATTACACTAGCAAAAAGGTTGGCCGGCCTATGCTTTTTTAGGATCGACCCTGGCCCGCGATTTTTCATCGACCATATCACTATTAAAGAAACCAAAAGTAGTAGTATAAGGTTGTAAAAATCAATTAAAAACTATATACAACAAAATAAATAAGAAATATTTACTAAGACTTGAATCCTAATGCCAAAAGGAAAACCTAGCAACTCTGAAAAAAAAGAGATCATACTGTAGAAGTACAAAAGCTGAAGCGACTCCGAAAAAAAGCGATCATACTGTAGTAGAAGTACAAAAGCCGAAGTAAATAACTTATCCGTGAGACAGAACCTAAAAAAGAAAAGGTCTTATTAATAGCATTAAAAGGTAAGATAAACATAAGAATGGTGAAAGTAAGGAAAAATAGATACAGTATTTTATCTGTGTGTTAGTTATACCATAATATGTGAAAGATAATATACGCGTTAATAAACCGATAAAAATTCTTGCATTGAAGAAAAATATACACTTTATATAGATTTAAGAGTTTTTAATTCAGAGAAAAGTGTATTGAAAAAAAAGAGAAAGAAAGCTGATTCGTGTTGCAAAACACTTATATAGTAATTTATTGATTACACATTGATCAGTTTTGAGTTTGGAACTGATTTTATTTTTCTTATATAAAAACCGGTTTAAACCGAGTTTAAAACATATGAAAATAAAACCGACTCCAAACACTAATCAGTTTATAACGTGACACAAATTTATTGTATATTGAGACCCAGCCACAGTTCACCTAAGGGAAAGATCTTACTGTATAATTTTACTAGTATTTGAATATAGAATATAGAGACATTTGAATGTTATTCAATATGCTGCTCAACCTACTCATATGATTTCACGTGATAACATTGAATGGTTTTAATTCTATTAAGAGAGATATTTTCACCTTATGTTAATAATTTAATTATAATTTTAGTTTTATGTGGCATTACGGATTTATAGGCTAGAAATCTGTTGCTGTTACTAAACTTTTTTTATATCTAAGTAACTGCTCAACCATCAATAAAAATCGCTAAAGAAGATTTATATAATGAAAATTTATATAACGTTGCAAAAAAAATGTAATTGTTTTGCTTAATATAAATTTTAATTGCAAAGACTTAAAATTTTTAAATTGCTGTAAAGAAGAAATCATTTCGAATATATTTACGATTCGTATTATTGTGTTGTTGTGAAGAATATCTAGCTTCACAATTGTGAACAAATGGAACATCTGGTGATCGTAACACAATTGAAATTGGATGAATTCTATTCTAATAACTATTGTAAGTATGTTGAAAACGATAGATAGGGCACTCTAATAAATCTTCATATTTCTTAAGACTCTCTAACCAATTCAAATAGATAAACAAAAAATTCTTATCATTGTTCCACATGTGTTTAATAATTCCTTTTATAATGCCAAAGTCTAATTGTTGCTTCTCAGGTAGGGTTGCTTCAACTATTTCACCAATGCTAAATTTCACATAATGATAATTATCATTTGGTTCAGTTATAAAATATGAAACGTTTTGATGATAGCTAATATTTGTCCTTAATATAGCTTGTTCCAATAAGAAATATGAAGAATACACCTCTATTATATTTTCTAAGAGTCTATTAGTTCTAAGATTAGCAGAAATAAATCCAGCATCTTCGATTTTATGTTTATTCCATTTCGATTCAAGCTTGATTTCAGAACAACTGGGATGTGAAAAATTCTCAACATCAATAAGATCATCTAGAAATAATTAAATTTAGCAAGCCTTTTTTTATTAAAATAAATAAATAAGTAAATAATATATATATATATACATAAGGCCATGCAAAGTTGATTTTTTCGTTTTGCATTACCCAACGGATCTAATTTTTAAATTTTTCAAATTTTTTTTTTTTTAAGTGTCAATTATGCCAATTATTCGATTTCTGTCATTTAATTTTTTTCGTTATTTTAACAGGAACCTTAGTTTCCTAAAATTATCCGTTATAAAGCAAAAAAAAAAAGACTAACCGACTCAATTTTCAGATTCATGTAATGCAAACCGAAAATTAACTTTGCATGGCTTAACATAACTTTACCTTGGCTATACTCTTGTAATATATATATTGAAAAGCTACTGTCATCGATACACCAACCGGACAATAAATTGCGCAACCACAGTGCACCAATTAGCTCTTTAAACATTGATTGTGCTATCATATTGTTAATTCAATCATCTACTCCACCATCAGCTAAATATCTTAATGTTTGTAAAGTGTTGATTTGCTAAAATAATGCAAGTTCAAGATCTTGTTTGTTTGTATGTGGTACAATCGATTTAAAGATTTGATATACTATTTCCTTCATACTGACTGCCATATTGATGCACGTTGAATATTGGCATACATAATCCACTAGATGTCGATTAATATGGAGGTTTGGAAGATTTTGAAAACTGTCTGGGAATAACTTAAATACTTTGAATAAATTATAAGTTAGTTTAAATAAAATTAAATTAAATATAAAATGCGACTCTCGCCATCCAAGGTATTAAAAAAAAAATAAATTAAAATTAAAGTTACAAATAAAATTAAATTAAATATAAATGCACTCCCACCATCCAAGGTATTAAATTAAAAATAAAATTAAATTAATAATAAAATTAAATTAATAATAAAATTATAATGAACTTAGAAAAATAATAAAATTATAATAAAATTAGAAAATAACGAAATTTACATTAATTAACGTCTTAAGTTCCTTATCTAATGCCTTTTGAAGTTGAATATATTCGTTTGACCTATCAATAGCTAATGAAAAAACTTTTCTACTGACTTTTGCAGAAAGTCCCTAAGCTCGAATCAGTTAAGTTATTACATTAGTTTGGTGAGAAAAGTTTAATCGAATTTTCGTTTCTTCTAAAAAGTTACGTTTTATATCATTAACTTTTAAAAAACATTTTAATATAAAAGGAAATATCATCAAAATACGCAAGATATCTGACATCATAAATGAATGCCTATGTGAAATAGGATTTGGTAAGCATGACCATTTTGATGGAACTTCAAAATATTTTCAATATTTAATTAAGTTGCTTTCTCCTTGTAATGATAAAATAAGGCAAGTGCAATCAAGAAGTCGTACTATTTTTCCCGCGATAGCATGGTATGCGTCTTGTGGAGTTTGCTAATGACAATTATAAAGAATAAGGTCAAGAGGTCCTGGAGATAATCGCAATCCATATTGTGAACTAAGTTGTGATCATGCTGTATTTGTTAATTGTTTGCTTATATATTGAAATTCTTGGTTGGTTATTTGGTGATATCAACCATTGGCATAAATATCGAATGAAATATCTGTTAATTTATCTTTCGAGGCTTTACAAATTTGACATCCTAAATTAGCATTATGATGTAAAACTCCTGCGATATCGTTCCCTTGTGGCAAATCTGCCATAACCATAGCTAATCCGCCTGTAATCCAACAATCAACACCATTTACACTCATTATAAATCCTTGTTCCAGTTTATGAACTTTATTAATAAAAACTTTTATAAAGTCTTTAAGTTTTCCACCAAATGGCACTAAGCCGATTATAAAATGATTTCGTAACTGTTTTTTTAATCGTTACAGCATATTTCCTATTTGCAAATAAACACCATCCAAAGAATGGTAGGTGGTATGAAAGGTACCAAAATCATCATAGTATAAGTCCAAATAAAATTTAAGAATTGGCATATTTGAGTTTGTTTGCAAGTTGATAGGTATATGTTCAGCAGGGTGTTGATAATGTAGGTTTATTGAACAAAGCTTCCACCGATTATTATAATTATATAATATTTTGCTTACAAAAAAATCAAATATAGGTGGTGCAGGTTGATCTTGTAGCCAAATTTTAAGATGACAGATTAATAATGAAGGGTCAATTATAAAATAATTGGATTCTTCAACTAAATATCGTTCTTGTGATGAATGTGGAACATGTCATTTAGAGCTTAAATACTATAAAGTTTGTTCGTGGGAAAATAATCGTTGAATTCGTATGGCCATTTTTTTATCTACAATTATAAAAGACCGAATCCGACCAATTTCAATCATATTTGAATCTGAACGATAGTAAACAAAGTCTTCACAAATAAATGAACCTAAGAATAAAATTTGGTAATTAAATAAGTATAAAAGCATTATATTATTTACATAAAGATGAGATATATACTTGCTGCCAAAATCAGCACAAATCCCAAACCCAAAAAACAATTAAGATTTATAAAAAATTGGCATCATTTTTTGTATATAACTATAGGAATATATTTAAACATTTAGATAAAGATTATTAATAAAGTTTTTGAGAGACTAATTTATATGAGCTTGGGATTTAAGATTTTGGCGACAAGTATAGATATATACCTTGCGCTGTTATTAAATTTGATTGGCCAAAAAGAGGAGACTCGGCCCAGAGATCACCTTCCCATAATTCTTCATACGACTTTGAAAAAATACCCAGTCCAAAATATAATTGAGAACTAAGGAATGGATTCTTTAATATTCATTGAAGGTGTTTAATTAAAGAAAAGAAGTAAACACGAGTAGAATCTTTAATGGTCAATGGTGTATTCCTAACATTGATTGGAACCATGTGACTTTGAATCTTCATTAATGGTAGTTGTTCACGTTGCCTTTTAAGACCTTGTAAATTAGGAGTTAAGTGACATTTTTCGAATTTAGAATGAAGCAAGATTTGTATTAAATCTTGGTAGGCCGCAGTTGCTAAAAAAAAAAAATAGATATATATTAAATATATATATATATGTATATAAACTTCAAAGTTTAACTAAATCGAATTGAATACCTACAGATCATGTATTTGGTGACCCATACAAATATAGCCATATTTGTAAAGTTTTTAAATGGCCCATATGAATATTCTTCATCCCAATTTAAGTCAAATCTTGTTACATTGAATATCTTTGGCAAGTCATCTGAAATTGATTCACACTCGCTGTCCAAGATTGATTCACACTCGCTGTTCAAGTTACTTTCTATATCAACATTAAATTCATCTCCACTATATATATTTTCTAAACTATTATCATTATAGTCTGAGTCACCAAGTTCTTGATCAAGTTTCAAATCTAAATTATGTCTACTAGATTGTTGATCATTATTAATATAAATTTGGTTATGATCAGATTGTAGGTCATGATTATTAAGTAATTGGTTATCATTGTTATAGTTTAAGATATTGCTATCTTGTGAATTTACATAGTTTAAATTATTATTGCTATAATTCAAATCATAATCAGTTAAATAAGTTTTCTTGTCACATAGGTGTATATTATATGGTTGTTATAGTGTACTTTTCTTAAACCTATTCCTAAGAGTAAACATGGTTTCAGGCATATAAAAAGTCAGCTCAGAATGAAAACCTAATATGGAAACAATGTCAAAAATAAGGTTTGAAAACAATAAAAATTCAACTGACACCAGGGTACATACGTATAATTAGGAGAATTTGGATATATATAGTAAGTGAGCATCAGCCCGGAATTTAGAGTTATCGTTATCACTAGTTACAGACTTTCCAAATTCGCAATTCTTAATTTTGTATACAAAATATTTGATTATTTTCTTTCTTTTTTTTTGTGAATATATGAAAATAAAAAAAAAAGATCTGATTTCTTATTGCGTAAATTTACTTTTATATGTTTGATTTAAACTTTGATCATGTTATTACGTTTGTTCAATGTCACTCTTATCTGTTATAATATATTAAATAATAGAACTGGCAGTGATCAAATAATTGCAGTAGTAAATATATTGATATCCATAACATGAGGACGTAATTCAGATTATGTCATATAAACACATTTAAATGTGTATATAAATAAATTGATATTTTTATCTTTTTCACTTAGAATAAAATGCCACTCAGGAAGTCTTTAACCTGTAAGCATTTGGTCCCTGTTTTACAAATTGTCAGCTTATCTTAATTTAGTTTTTTATAGCTAAAACGATAACAAGAAGTGTGACGAAAAAGAATGCTCAAATTGAATCTGAACCTTTAACTGATTTACCAAAATCGAAAAAACTACAAAAATCATCCAAAGCAATTGGTAAAGGTAATTGGTGATTTTTTTTTGATCATTTCATTACTTTTTTTTTTAAAATATAGACATACATATATAATAAAAATTCGATTTTCATATGCTTTATATGATACTTAAAATAAAATGGAGTTTCTTATTAAATATTATTATGCTTTATATGATACTTAAAATAATAATAGAGTTTTCTTACTAAATATTAAAAAAGAAAATTCTGAACCAAATTTGGAAACATCTTCAAAATCACTGGAAAATTCTGTAGCAAATTTGCAAACATCTTCAAGAACGATTTCACAATCAGAATATTTACAACCTGAAGATGTTGAAGAACAAGCTTATATCGACGAAGATCAGCCAGTTTAAAATCATTCCTCCTTTGCAACTAGCAAATATCAAAATAAAGTGTCATCACAAGTAAATCTGAGAACCCCTGAAAAACAAGTTTATATCGACGTAGGTCAGCTAGTTCAAAATCATTCCTCCTTTGCAACTAACAAATATCAAAATAAAGTGCCATCACAAGTAAATCTGAGAACTGCTGAAAAACAAGTTTATATTAACATAGATCAGCAAGTTCAAAATCATTCATCCTTTGTAGCTAACAAATATCAATATAAAGTGTCATTACAAGTAAAGCTGAGAACTGCCGGTTCAAGTATTCTAACAAATGAGCCTGACGTTGGACCTTTGATTCAATGCCCCAATAGATATGGTGAACATTTCTCTAATTATGAAGATGGAGATGAGTCTTCAGAAGAATCCTCAGAGGATGAAATTTTTTCTTCACTTGGGCAGCACAATCTGACTCTGTTAAATGTTCAAAGTACTAATTATGATAATTCATACTCAATAATTCAACAAAACAAAGTTCATACAACAACTATGGCTACAAATCATGAACTATCCTTTCAAGATGAAGATCATCTCCTTTGATGGCTGGAAACACATAAAGATCTAATTTTACGTGCACTGAATGCAATTTGTTCATCGCTGCCTATATAAAACCAGGTTAGTTACGATTTAACAAATTATTTCCAAAGGCGTAGACTATTAATAATAATGCATAATTATTAATAAGTTAAATAATAATCATGCATTATCACAATAATAATATGTAATATATACTTTAATCTTATTTAATGATTTATAAAGTCACTCTCATTATCAATTTTATTAATAACATTCCAAAATTCAATATATTGAGAGATTTATTAGTAAATTCGTTATATGGAAAGAATTTATATAGACTACCTTTGGGGTTTTCATTGCCAGCATTATACTAAAAGTTCATTATAAGAAGGGCAACTTGTATTATATAGCAAAAGTTGAATTCGACTTTACTTAAGGCCATAATTTATTAATTATAAAATTTATATGTAATAAATAGGTTTCTTTGAATGACTCACCTAATATAGCAAAAATACTATCTGAACAATCCTGTATCTTATTTCTGCGAACCCGAATACCTACGAAAAGGACACGTACTTCATTAATTAACCGTATTGCACCCAACATAGTTAAAACTCATCCTAATTGAAATGAAATATCAAATAAATTACAACAAACATTTGAAAATTATTATACAACATATAATGATGTATCCAAACTGGCAAGTCAGTTAATTTGAAAAAAATGGCAAGCTTTTCTTTTTTGTATTTATTTTTCCCCTTTAAATTTTAATTTAATTTATCCAATACTAATAAATACAATTGATAAATTATAGGAATCTATCAGATCATGATATTAAAAAGTTCATCACTGGATCCATATGGGAAAGACCTCTTAAAAAACACATTGATGCACTTGATTATGATACTTTTAAAAGTTATCAGTCCAAAGTACAATCGTTAGAAACTTTTATTGCTACAAGCCTTGAGATACATACGGAATTTCTAATAGCAGAATCTAAAGAAGAAAATCCTGATTATAATTCTATAGTTCTGAATCATATCAAATAATTGGATAGCCTTACTATTAATTGTAAATTTCCAGCTGCAAGTCAACTTCAATATGCAAATCAATTGGAACTTAAGGAAGAATGAGAAAGATTAAAGAAATAATTCGTATAGCAATAACATATTTGTGCACTACTATGTAAAGCTTGTAGTTAATATAGTTTTTATATACAAATATTATGTTAA